ACACACACACACACACACACACACACACACACACACACACACACACACACACACACACACACACACACACACAACCACAATCGACACTGCCGCACCGTGTGCTGCTGCTGCTGTGAAATTCGCTGCATGGTGCGCTGGCGACGCTGCGGCGCCAATCGCTCGTGGCGATCGCGCTCCTCCATCAGCATCAGCTCATCTCGCGTCTGTGCTTGCATGCAGGCATTCGGTGGAAGGGGTGGCCGCATGGGAGAGAGATGAGAGCATGCACACGTGATAGGCAGGTAGCCAGTCAAGAGAAAGAGACAACAATGAAGATAGGTGAGGGAGAGACATCCACGCACAAGTACACACGCACACAGACGCACACACATATAGATATACACACAGACACAGACACAGACACACAGACACACACGCAGACACACACACAGACACACAGACACACACGCAGACACACACACAGACACACACACACACAGACACACAGACACACACACACAGACACACACACACACACACACACACAGACACACACAGACACACACACACACAAACACAAGTGCGGACCGGTGGGGCGCGGGAGTCGGGCCCGCGGATCGTGGCTGCAGGTGGACTGCGATCGCGATAACGCGCATGACGATGCTGATGGCGATAGTTGAGGACACCGTCACCATCATGGCGACGTTGGCTGGATGTTGATGTTGCTGCGGAGCGTGGGCGACTCCCGTATCGGCTGCTGCTTGTCACGGCATGCAAAGCGTTGGAGGGTGACAGGTTGACATGAGGATGGTGTTCGAAGTCGTGGGACGAGACGCATTGGACAACGACATACACACGCACACACAGATACGCACATACACACACACACGCACACGCACGCACACACACACATACACATAAACGCACACATGCACACACATCCCTACCTGGTGGCCGCGGACACGGGCGAGTGTAGGCGTCGTGTTGGCTGACGTCGTGTACGCTGTCTGTGACGGCTTGCAAAAGGGTGGTGTCGTGATCTGCGTGAAAGGCGTGACGCCGGCGACGATGACACAACTCCAACATTATCGTCATCATCACTGCTGCTGCTGATGGTGCTGCCGGCGTGACGCTGAAAGTGCTTTCGCCTGAGCTCATCTTCAAGATTATTGTCGTCTTGCTCGTTATCATCCGTGAGAGATCCAGTGGAAGCTGCATACACGTTGAACACGAGGGACAAATTGAGTGGCTGTTGGTGCTTAACAAGAGTACAGAGATCAAGCCACGTGCTTGCATGCATGTGAACGAACAAATAATTCAGCACACGCACACGCACATACATACACACACACCGGAGTGAACAAGCGCGCTGACACAGTTTGCAAACTGGTCAAGGGTGATGCCGACGACGTGGGCTGGTGGAACGTGGATCCGCTCGCCGGAATAGAGCTTGCAGCCAATCGTGGACGCAGCTTCAGACACACACACACACACACACACAAGTGCAGTGGCGTGACATGAGGTGAGCACACGTTGGAGCAGCACAATGAAATGTTGGGCAATGCGTATGCGCGAGCAAGTGTGTCTGTGCACGCGCAAAGTGTGTGTGTGTGTGTGTGTGATTGGGAGCGCACTTCGCTGGAGGATGATGCTGGGGATGAAGATGGACCCTTGCTTGGTCAGAGCATACAGCGCTGTTGGAAACACGACCAATTGGATCGAGGGATGCCATGGGGCGCACACGGGAGGGAGAGACATGGTGACGGTCGACTTGGGAACACTTTCAAGTGGCGGTGCATTGTACACACACACACACACACACACACACACACACACACACACACACACACACACACACACACAAACACATAGCATGCGGCGCAGTCTCACCTCTTGGGCCAGCGTGTGTGTATGGGATGAGGTCATTGAGATTGACAAGAACTTGCGTCACGGCTGCCCCGTCATGATCATGATCATCATCGCCATCCACATCACCACCGTCATCGTTGTCGGCGTTGTTGCTGCTGTCCAACTGCACGCGTGCAATGCTCTCAGCGGCGCCTGTGGAGAATGGGAACAAGACACGGGGTTGATTGGATGAGTGAAGTGAAGATAAAATGGCGCGTTGTAACTCGTACAAGAGCGTGTACACGCACACATACATACACGCGCACACACACATACACACATGTGCACACACACACGCACAAATTACACATGCACTCACACGAATATACACACACGCACACACACACACATACACTCATACACACACGGCCTCAAACCTTCTGGCCGCATTGCGCCAACGACGCGGCCGGCGCGGAATTCGTCGTCGTGCAGACAGACGACGCGAAGGCCGACGATGCGCTCGAGCTCTACACCACCAGCAACGCCGCCAGTGACGCCACCGCCGCGGACAGCAGCAGCAGCGGTGTGGTGCTGGTGATGAGCATGAAAACCGCCACCATTCAACGCACTGTCATGTGCCCCAGCATGAGCACTCCCTTCTCCATCACCACTCACATCTTCCACGGCCTCCTGCTCTTCGTCCGCTTCAAGATCACCACCACCACCGCTGCCGCTGCCGCTGCCCTGTCGGCGTCTATTCCGGCGTGGTGGCGTGTGCACAGCAACGGAGGATGCACTACCGTTGCCACCATCACCATCACCATCATCATCCACGTCCACGATCCGAACGGTCACAACCCCATCACCGTTCAGCATCCGGTCGTGTGCATCGTCGCCTTCCTCGTTGACACTTTCCTCGTGAGCGTCAACTGCACCAACCGCTGCTCTCTGCTCACATTCCATGCGATTCCCATCATCATCATCATCATCATCATCATCATCATCACCACTTCTCTTACCATCATCACCACCATCCTCATCACCATCCTCATCATCATCGCCGTCTGCGGCCACCTCGGCCTCCAGTTCCTCTTGTGTCTCCGCTGTTGCCCGCCCTTCAATTAGCGCCTGCACCTGCGGCAGCTGCCCTAGCGCACGCACCGTTGTGCGGACATTTTGTCCAGCTCTGCCCAAGCCATAACCGCCCCCAGCGCCCATGTACCGCGACTGCTGTCCTTCCTGTTCTCGCATGGATTGCGTCAGGGAAGAGAAGGCCGTGACGAAGCAAGGGAGGTTGCAGCATGCGCCAATCCTGTTGAGGAAGGCAACAGCATCCGCATCACAGGACGGCGGCAGTGGAAGTGATTGTGGCGGTGCACCCATCATCTTCGATGCCATGCCACCACCACCGTCACCACCACCGCTACTACTACCATGCGCAAGTGGCCCACTTCTGCTCATTGCTGGACCGTGCACAGCCGTGTTGGGAGTGCGGCTGCTGTAAAGAGAAGAGGAAGGGTTGTAGGTGGCCGGGGGCTGTGAAGACAGGGATGAGTGCGACGACCACGGCTGCGCCCATGTGTTGCCGGAGAGATGTGTTGAGTGGAGGGACCGCGTGAGCCTGCTCATTGACGATGATGATGGTGATGTGGACGATGCAAAGGGCGAGTGACCAAACCCTGCCCCAGCTATGCCGCTCAGGTCATCGTGCAGGTACACAGGAGCGATCATCCAGGGGCCTTAAAGGGGGGGGGCGGGTGTCACGCATGACGCAAGCACATCATGACGCCTTGTGAGCAAGGCGAATCAGGGTGGTACCAGACAAACTGCTCACATACACGCACGCAAGGCTACCCGCACACACGTACGCACACATGGAAAACTATCAGCTCAAGGGCAGCGGCCATGCAGTCCTGTGTTTGACACACCTTGTGGGCTGTCGATGGCCTGCGCGCACATGCGGATGATATGGGAGGGAGGAGACGTTGGAAGGCCATCGGTGATGAGGACGATGGCATCAGCGCCAGATTGAAGAGCAACCTCGAGCGCTTCGCGTGTGCACGTCAACCCATCGGCTGGTTGCTGTGCAAGCCACTGCTCCAGTTGCTGTTGAATCCGAGCAGCGTGAGTGGGGGAGTGGGGAGCGGGCGATGAGAGATGATTGACGCTCACACGACAGCGAGCACGCACGCACAACAAACAACAAAGAAGACGACTGCACAAACCACACAAACCACATACAAAGACAAGCAGAGAAACATGCAAAGAGAGAGAGAGAGAGAGAGAGAGAGAGAGAGAGAGAGAGAGAGAGAGAGAGAGAGAGAGAGAGAGAGATATGCACACACACACTCTCTCTCTCTGTCGTTCTCACATATGCACACAGATACGCGAGAGCATGGCATGCAGCTCACGGAGAGGAAAGTGGCGTCGCTGGAGAGCCCGCGACCATCAAATGTCCGCGGTGTGTCGGAGAAGGCTGTCACGGTTACCCTGCGGCATAAGGGTGTCATGCAGATCGACGGACAACACGTGAGAGCACAGCCGCGCGAATGTTTCAAGACTTGGTCGTGCAGTGCATCATCTACATATGCATGGCCTGAGGCAGCAACAGTAGCAACAGTAGCATCAGCCCATGCAGCTCACCTGATGCCAGTGCGAGTGAGGAAGGTGCTAAGCTCGAGCACGTGCTGGCGAACGGCGTCCAGCATATCCACCATGGAGGAGGAGGTGTCCAGAAGAATGTGTACCTACAGTCACGACGAGGAGAGAACAAACACACGTGCGCGTGCATGTAAGAGACGGTGGTTTGTGCTGGGCCCATCAAACCTAACAGCAATTCTTCAAGCAGACCCTTGTTGCAAAGACACGCACGTGGTCAGCGGCAATTGGCGCCGGAAAGAGCGGAAGCAGGTCCGTGTGCGTGGTGGCGGGGGAAGCCTGATCGGCGGCCTTGTTGCTTCCATCACTTGCGTGTTGGATCATGCGCAGCAGGCGCGTCTCCACTGCATCACCCAGTGGCCGCTGTGGCAATGGCACCGACTGAGCATCCGCCAATCGCCCACAGCCAACAGTCATGCGCTGCACAGCGTTAACCGCATCCCTCAACAGCTCATCCATCCTTGCGACCGGAGTGTGATGCGAGAGAGGGGCGCTGCGGAAGTTTGGTTGGTGTCCTGCCTTTGTGCCTTTTGTTGTGGTGGTGTGTGTGTTCGTTGTGGCCTGCTTGGCGACCGTTTCTTGCGACTGAATTCAGTCGCCAGCGATCCATGCGCTTAATTTGCCTTGTTGCTTGCTCTTCAGCCTTCACTTCTTCACACATCACCCCTCCCACAACAACAGATATCAACCTTGTTGAGTGAGGCGGAGACACGACGCCAGCGATGCAGCAGCTGATGTCAGTGGCATTGGTGCTGGTGGCCTTTGTGGCCCATGCACCAGTGATCACCGCACAGCAGTGCCCATTCTTTCCCGATGGTCGGCAACCACAGAGGCAACCAACCCTTGGAAACTGCACCCACTACATCGAGTCTGCGTGTTGCACACGGGTGCGACTGCTCTGTGTGTGTGCATGTGTATGTGTGTATGTGTGTGTATGTGTGTATGTGTGTATGTGTGTGTATGTGTGTATGTGTGTGTACGTGCGTAAGTGTGTTTGCATTGTGTGTGTGTGTGTGTGTGTGTTTGCGTGTTTGCATTGTGTGTGTGTGCGTGTGTGTTCAATCGTCGCTGCACCACTCTCCCATCAAAGTACGTTCTCACATGCTTGCGATCACGCCCCTCCCTCCTCCTTCCAGGCTGAGGTGTCGTCTGTGTTTGCGGAGCTGCCGCGGCTCAAGGCACCAAAGAACAAGAAAGATCCTTCAGAGTGCTATGCAGAAATGAACAACCTGCTGTGCTACTTCTGCTCTCCTGCGCAGAGCGATTTCTATCGCGAGGGCGTCCCCGTCGTCTGTGAGCGCATGTGCAACCGCGTGTACCGGCGCTGCAAGCGCTTCTCCGTCAACGGCGTCAAGATGGAGGACGCTTACTCCAGTGGCACCAAGTTCTGCGAGGCTCAGGTTCGTCACACGTGTGCGTATGTGTGTGTATGGGTGCGTGCGTGTGTGTGTGTGGGTGTGTGTGGGTGTGTGTGTGGGGGGGGGGATACAGGTGCGGGCGCGTGGTTCAGACAGACACACACACACACATGCACACGCACACGCCCACGTACGAGCAAACCAGTTCATTGTGCGGGTCAGCGGCGCTCGTGTGTTGATCTCATGCGCTACGAAAAAACCAGTCACCGATCCTCAAATGTGTTGCTTGCTGCTTGCTGTGGTCGCGTGCCTGTGCAGGGGTTCATCGTGGATTCCACGCCTCTGGCAGATGTCCCGCGCGGTGTACCCGTGTACTCCACGTGTCACATCTACCTTGACGCGGCGTCGGCCGTGCATCCCTCCATCATGCTGCTTGCCGCCGTCTTGCTCGTCTCCATCGGCAATGCGTGCGGGCTTGGATCTTCCTCAGAGAGCAATGACGAGGCAGACAAGGCCGCAGAATCCAAACGCACGCGCCAAGGCACACCCAAATACACACCTGCACCCACACGCGCACCCACACGGTCACTTCCTTCGGCAGCCAGTACCGCACGGGCTTCTGCTTCGATCAACACCACGAGCATCATGCGAGCCAGCGTTGCCGTCGCAGTGCTCGCACTCGCGGTGCTGTGCAGCGTGCCGTCGGCAACGGCGCAGACAGACACGGTTGATGATGCGGATATGGTGGCGTGGGCGGCAGGCGTGGCGCAGCAGCTGCACACGATGCGCTCGCAGGGCACGGCCGCAAACCACCTGCAGAACACCATCGACACAGGTGTGTGTTGTTGTTGTGGTGTTGTGTGTTGTTGCATGTGTATGTGTTTGTGGCTGTGGATGTGTGTGTATGTGTATTGGGGTGTGTGCAGTTGAGAGCGAGGCAAAAGCCGCATTGCGTGAGCCGCTACTCCCATGTGCACTCTCACGCGTGCGCTCGCGCTGACGCATACGTTCACACACTGACACCACCCCCTCCCCCACCTTCATCACCTCTGCTCCGTAGCCAACTACACGAAGGAGACGATTGATGCGGGCGCACGTGCGCGCATGGTGGCGGACCGCCTGAGCGATTTCTTCACACGGAAGGAGGCGCTTGCACGCAACCTCGCTGCAGCCGCAGCAGACGCATACATGTGCGTAGCACGCATGCATGTGGCGCGTGACCGTGAATGTGTGTGATTGTGTGGTTTGAATCCGCTTCAACGAACAATCAATACACACAGCTCTCACATCGCACCCACTCCGCTGTCTCTTATCCCCCCCATCGGTTGTTGTAACTTCCTCTCCTCCGGCCGTTGGTGTCTGTGCAGGCGCCATAAGCAGAATCCCGTTATTCTCGAGCAGTACGCAAACGTCGACCTGCCCGAATCCCTCCCAGACCTCACATTCAGCCCTTTCTACAAGGTTGCTTGCTTGCTTATTTGGTTGGTTGGTTGGTTGGTTGGTGTGTGTGTGTGTGTGTGTGTGTGTGTGTGTGTGTGTGTGTGTGTGTGTGTACTCCCCCTTCTCTCTGTGTGTCTCATGGTATGCTCACCACACCCTCTGCCACCCTGCTGTGACACCATCATCACCACCACCAGACGAATGTGTCGTTTGCCCAGAGCGGCACAAAGGTCGCCATTGATGAGCCGCAGCCCTCCCAGGCCGTCGACTCGGACATCGCGTGGACAGCCGGGTACGTGTTGTGTGTGTTTTGTGTGTGTGTGTGTGTGTGTGTGTGTGTGTGTGTGTGTGTGTGTGTGTGTGTGTGTGTGTGTGTGCGTGTGTGTGTGTGTGTGTGTGTGTGTAAGGGGTGGGATTGCAAATGTGTTGAGAATAAGCGACTGTCTGCTGCTCGCTGCCTTCTCTCTGCACATGTTCACCTGTCCATCCCCGCCACTGCAACCAACACGATGACAACGACCACGGTATCTGGTGCCATCAGGCTGGACGGCGATGGCGTGTTCACGCGCAACATGCAAAACGATAGCGACATTCGCTGGCAGTATGTCGGCACAGAGCGAGGTACGTGGTGGTGGCGGTGGTGGTGATGGTGATGTTGCGGACGGTTGCAGTTGTGCTCGCGTGTGTGAACTTGCTTGATGACGGACGGCGCCCGAACGAAACATGCACATATGTGAATTTGCACAACACAGGACACGCAACACACACGCACACACAAGCAAACACAAGCAAACACAAGCAAACACAAGCAAGCAAACAAACAAACAAACAAACAAACAAACAAACAAACAAACAAACAAACAAACAAACAAACAAACAAACAAACACACACACACGCGCGCGCGCGCACGCACACAACCGACACCACACCTCCTTCTACCTGCTCATTCCTTGCATCGCATCACATGGTGTGCTGCTGCAGGCGTGTTTCGGCAGTTCCCAGCGCGGCTGTGGGACACGAACTTCATTGGCTTTCCCCTCGACTTTGACCCGCGGTTCCGCCCCTGGTACCTCGCCACCCTCTCCGGCCCAAAGGATATTGTGAGCGCTCCCACTGCATGCATGCCTGTTTTGTGTTGGTGTGTTGGTTGGTGGAAGGGCCAAAGTCTGCCTTGTCTTTGCGGGAGCATTCCTTTCCCTTTGCGTTCAACGTGTCCTCGCTCACACACACACACACACACACATACACGCACACGCACGCACACACACACGCACGCACTGCCCTCCAGGTGATTGTGCTGGACTGTTCGCGGTCGATGCGCGGGGACAAGTGGAACGATGCCGTGGCCATGACCAAGTTCCTGGTGAACAGCCTGAGCCGTGACGACCGTTACAACGTCGTCTGCTTTTCTTCGAGTCACAAGGACTACAACGACAACTTCGTCTACCGCAGGACAGGTGCGGTGGCGCTGGGATGAGATGACAGGGGATTGCATGGACAGAAATGTGACGAAGCGTTGTTGGTGGTGGAATGTTGAACAGCTGCTTGTATGCATTCTCATAACACACACACGCACACAATCCCACACACAATCCCCCCCCCCCACACACACACACAATCCCACGGCAGAGGTGCTGAGCTGCCGCAAGCACGAGCTGCTGCGGGGGACGTCGTCCAACAAGGAGGACACGTTCACGCGCCTGGACGGTTACACCCCGGCCGGCGGCACAGACCCGCTCACAGGCATCCAGGTAGAAGGGGGCAGGGGGTGCGGGTGGGGGCTGACTTGAGGAGGGGATTGTGTGTGCATGTGTGTGTGTGTTTCGACGATTTTGCACCGATTTTGACGCCTACCTATGCCGTCGTGCTACCACTAACACTCACATAACAATCACACACGCATCCTCACGCAACACACACACACACTCACTCACTCACTCACACGTCACACGTTGTGCAGGTTGGGTTCCGGCTGCTCCGCGGCGAGTGCAACGGGCTGGACACGGACTGCCCCATGCGCGATCCACCACGCACCGGTGCGCTGTCGCTGTTGTGCTCTGTGATGGTGTGATGGTGTGATGGTGTGATGGTGTGATGGTGTGATGGTGTGATGGTGTGATGGTCGGGGGGTCATGGCTGCATGCATGCATGCATGCATGCATGCATGGTGTGGAATGAAGGGGCAAGTTGGAGATGGTGTGTATGGATGGTGTTCATACGTGTTTACATGCACGCCAACGTTCATGCGACTTATCACTCACCTTGCGCGATGGCATTCAACACTGCCACCGTGACCATGAACGTCACCACCACCACCACCATCATCGTGGTCGTCGTTGTCGTGGTCGTTGCGTGTGTGCTGGCGTGTGCAGACTGCCAGCGGTTGATGGTGTTTCTCAGCGACGGAAAGGATCGCGATAACGAAGTCCGATGCGGCCGTGGTCAGTCAACACAACAAGTGGAAGAGGGCTGTGTGTGTGTGTGTGTGTTTGTGGTTGTGTGTGTGTGTATGGTTGTGTTTGTGGCTGTGTGTGGTTGTGGCTGTGTTTGTGGTTGTGTGGACTCCCTTGATTGCGCCCACTTCATCAACCCATCTATCACCGCCGCCACCACCCACACCAGGGCGATACTACTACACGCGCAACGGTCGTCAGTACGATCCACCACCGCTCTGCCAGTTCAAGTGGGACGACACATTCGAGTGAGTCTTTGCGTG